TAATTTATTTACATGTTTTTTGCAAGAAATACAGATGTATTTAGGTTCTGTACAGAGGAAGTGTTCATCAACAATGGATGCAAAGGAATCTGATGTCATTTGGAATGGCTTCATAAACAGATTCAACATTGTAGCATCAAATGAAGAACGTATGTTCTGACAATGCGAAGCTCAGATTTGCTGAAGCTGCTAGAAGTCTGTTTTGGACTGTTAAGAGATCTGGACCACTGCTTCTTACAGATGCTCCTTCATCATCAGAATAGAATACTGAATCTGCATCTGAAGACAACCCTCTGGCTATGACTCTGATAGAACATCCTTCTGGCTCTACTGCTCCTAGCTCCAAATCCCCTATGGAAATTAACTCTGTTCAAGCTTCAAAAATTGTTCCACCTTCTTCATCTGAGATCAAGAAAGAACATCCAGATCTTGAAGATGAGATTGCAGTTCTGGAAGCTGGTCAATCAGAAATCAAGTCATGGATGGCTAAACAAGATAAGAAGTCTGAAGACATGACTCAGTGGATGTCCCAACAGGATCAGAAGAATGAAACAATGGCTAAGTCGATGTCAAAACAAGAACAGTCCTCTTCTGAGATCACAGATCTGTTGAAGATGCTTTTGTCAAAACACTCTTAGTTTATTTATTTTTTTCTTCTGATGTTTGCATCTAATGTTTGCATATGTATTTTGAATATCTTCTGATGTGTGTACTTTTGCTCTGAAATGAATGAATGAATGAATGCTTCAAAGTTTTCTCCACATGATTTATCTCATTTACTGTTTTCTTTTCTTTGTCTTTTCAAAGTTATTACTTTTTGCTTATGACAAAAAAGGGGGAGAAAATATAGATCTGAACTGTTTAATTAAACTTCACCAGAATGAAACTTCAGACATATCAATTTTATCTAACATAAAATCTGAGTATTTCAGAACATTTGATAAGTACATTCAGTAAAAGAAACTCTGAGACTCTCAGATCATTTGACAATTATCAGACTCTGACTCTGAAATATGCAAGACACTCTGACTCTCAAATGTTAAAGAACAATCAAGCTCTAACTCTGAAAAATACTCAAGACAAAAGAGAAGTTTTTATTCCTTATTTATATTTAATTCAGGGGGAGATTCATCATCTCAGGGGGAGTTATAATTATTCTATTTTTAGTTAAACAAAATTTCTGATGTTTTTGTCATCATCAAAAAGGGGGAGATTGTTAGAACACAGATTGGTTCTTAACAATATCTCTATGTTTTGATAATAACTATTATGAAATTTTGTAATTAAGAATTATATACTCTAAAATTTGCTTGAGAGTGTTTGCTGCAGATATTAAAGTAATTATCACTCCAGAAGCAAATCAGAACTGAACATAAGAAATATGCTAAACTCTGAAGCGCTAGATGCATCCATTAGAAGATTCTGAATGCTGCCAACAGAAGATCCTGAGCGTAGCCTCCAGAAGGATCTGAAGCAGAAGCTCCAGAAGGATCTGAAGCAGAAGCTCCAAAAGAATCTGAAGCAAGTCAGAAGCATCTGAACCAAAGAAGAATTTTGTATGAAGAGTTTTCAAGCATAGTTACTACAGAAGATTCTGAAAGTAATAAAGCTGCCAGTACTGAGGATCTGACTCAATTATGCTCTGAACCTATACACGCTAAAAGCACACCTGCTGCAAAGACTTTGATTCAGCAAAACTCTGATCAACATCAGAAGGCTCTGATCAAATTAGACTCTGATGATTCTTGCTGAAAATTGATGAAGAAGAATTCAAAGATTATGTCCGTTGGAATAATCTAAACAACTCTTTCCTTATTTATGCTAGACATAAGAACACAGACAAAACGGATTTCTCTGTGCTTTCTTCTTCTAGGAAAGGTCACTTGATGTGAAGACAAAAAGGCTCAGACCTTTTGGTACACTCTTCTCAACGTGAAGTTCTCTTGGATCAAGCTGCCTATAAAAGCAAGTCTCCACCCATCTTCTTCTGTGGACGTTTTACCTGAAAAGAAATCAATATCCGAAAGCTCTCATACAATTCACATTCTTTCTAGAATTAATTTCTTTGTTCTTAATATTAAGTGAAAAATCACAGTTGTGATAAAGCTTTATTAGAAGCAATTTAAACACTTGTATTTGTTATTACATTTGATTGCAAGAAAACCTTAAGAAGATCCAGTTAGGATCAGTAATTCTTGAGAAGACTTTGAACAATTGTTCTTAGTGCTTACTATTGTAATCAGTTGATTAAATAGTGGATTAAGTCCTTGATTGAGAAAGGCAAATCACTCTAGGAAGGGTGGACTAGAGTAGTTGAGTTCAACGAACCAGGATAAAAATACTTGAGTTTTTATTTCTAAGTTTTTATCTTCATACTTATTCAACCCCCCTTCTAAGTATTTTCTCACCTTCAGGTGAGTGATTCTGGGCAAAGAAACAAAGCTAAGAGAGCTTGAATCAAAAGAATGGTTGACTGGTTTTTTAAGGTATCAGGTTCAAATGGTTGCAGAGTTTCTTTGGCTTTCAAAGGTTGCAAATAAAGACAAACGCTTCCTATATTTATACAAGAAGTGTTGTTGAGCTCACACATATGAAATGGATCTGAAATACGTGTGAACCAGGTTGGAATTTTGTGATTTCAAACCGTGTGAGGGCAAGGGTGAAAATTGTGATTCAATGATGAAACCTGCTTGTTTTTACTTGCTTGCACCCATTTTGGTTGTACAAAAGGTTCAAACATGTGCAAGTGGTCCCAAATTGAGATTTGGCATGAAATTCATGACCTGAAACTGAACAAGAAGCAGAGCTCAAGGTACCATGTTTGAAGCTAGACCAAGTGAAATCCACTTGTGCGTTTTTTAATTTTGTTTGTGCCAAATATTCCTTTCATTGCAAAGTATTCAATGCAAAAGAACCACATCAAAAGGATGCTTGAATTAAAAATGGAATTGAATCAAAGTTAGGGTCGTGGCCTGGGATTTCAGGCCAGGCATTACATTGACTAGGTATTGGGCCTACTTTTATGCACACATGGGCAACCTGGCAAATTCCAAAATTCATGGACTTAGAAATTAAATTGATGTTTGATCTTTTAAGCAAAGTTATAAAGGAGTTCAAATGTGACATTTGGCTCAAAGTAGATTCCAAAAATATTGTGAAATGAGAAAGTTATGGTGTTTGGACCAAGTGACATGCCATACTTGATTTTAGGCAAACCAAACATGCGCCAACTTGAGATTTTTTGCTTTTTCTTTGCATCCAAAGGCCCAATTGAATGTCAAATGAAGGAAAATTGGTTGTCCCTTGAATAATCTTTAATGATTGCTTGAGAATTGAATGGAGATGGTATGGAAATAAACACATGAAACATACTTGAATCAACTTCAAAATCATGCACCAAACTTGAACTTCTCTTGATCAAATGATGTTGAATGAAGCTCGACATGAATGTGACCTAAGATTATAGGTCATGTCTTAAAGTGAAAGCTCTTGTGGACTACTTGTTGATCAAACTTTTGACTTTGAGAATCCAAACCCTAATTTAGAAACCAAACTTGATCCTTTGATTACAAGTCCCTACCTTGTACAATAAGAAAATGAAACAACACATATTTTTGTATTTTAAATAAGGTTAGCAAAATTAGAATGTAAGCAAGTAATAAGGGTAAAAAGAAACACAAAGGGTGTTTGGTGATCTCCCATAAAGACAAATCCAAAGAGGTAAAGGTTAGAAGAATGCCATGTTTGTGACCTTGATGAGATGCAAATGATATGATAGGTGAAATCTTAAGGATAAAAAAATGACAGTCACATTATTTTACATTTTCTTATATATGTTGATATATCAAGTGTGAGTATAAAAGTCTCACATCAGATGAAAAGTGAATGTTGAACATTTTATAAGTGAGAAAACCTCTAGACCTAGTGCTTTAAGGTTTTGGATTAATAATGGTGTCTCTCTCACTTGCATAGTTGTTTCTAAAGCCCATTGTGATGATCCTCATACCCCCTCATGACCCAACTGTGGTAACAGAGCCTAGTTTGACTAGACTTTTTGTATTGAAAGTCTTTCTGACAAGGGCGTATAGATGGTGTGTTCCAATGAGTCCATCCAACGGCAGTGCAAATAGATACGGGTGAAAAAAAATCCATTTAAAGGGGAGTATAACCATAAGAATAGATGGACTCACACTTGATGGAAAGATTGTTGGTATATCAAGTGGTAGTGTGAGTATGGAAAAGTGATTGGACTCATAGATCAAATGCTTTAAGATTTTGGATTAATATGCGATGTTTCTCTCACTTACGTGATTGCTCCTAAAACTCGATGTGTTGATCCAGAAACTCCCTCGTAACTCAACAATATATTTCAACACGTTAATAAACTTTAGAAACAAAATCATATTATGCACTAAAAAACACAAATTTTAAAAGAGAAAAGAGATGGTGCACTGACCGTTTAAATTATTTTTACACTGTCAACTAATAACATTCATGTATCCTGACAAGACAACTTATAAATTTTAAATTATTTAAATGATTTAACACTTTAAAATATTTTGATTAAAAAATATGTGTATTACTTTTTACATGGACAGATAAATCATAATTAAAATCTTGATATTTTTTTGTTTCATGTCTATTTATATTTGAAAATGTCAAATGAAATAGTTACAATTACAAATTTATATTTAAACGACCGTTACTCATCATAATCATAACTTCAAACATTTCCAAGAAAACGCAATAATATTTCTTTTTGCAATTATATATATATTTTTGAATAAATTCAAAAACTTGTTAATAATAGCTACTTAAAATCTAACGAATACCTAAATAATTGAAAAACTCTTATTAAAGAAATAGCCGTTACCACAAACGTTGCATTTTCTGAACATCAATATACAAATTAAATTCTCTCATCAAAACGAGCTTATTTCTTTCAGCTGCTGCTTCTTCTTTCAGCTGCTGCTTCTTCTTTCTTCTTCCTTCCTCCCTCGATGGCTTCAAGTGCAGATTCAGATGAAAACCCTAATCAACAAGAAGAATCGATAATTCCAGTTTTGACTGTCTTCAAGAACAAATCGGTCATCAAGAACATTTGCATTGTTCTCAACAACAGCGACGGCGATCACATCATTCTCATCGGTCGTCACCCTACCTGCAACATTGTTCTCACTCACCCTAGCATCAGCCGCTTCCACCTTCAGATTCGCTTCACTCCCTCTTCTCGATCCATTTCGCTTCTAGATGTATCTTCCGGTATTTCTAACCAAATCCTTTTTCGCTTATATTTTTCATTTTCTTTCATTACTATATTGTTTCTTGAAATCTTAATGGTGACAGTGCACGGAACGTGGGTGAGTGGTAGAGAGCTCGAGCGTGGTGTGAGTGTTGAATTGAAGGGAGGTGATAGCTTTCGACTTGGGGTTTCCAGTAGGGTTTACCTTCTTCGCTTTGTCTCCCAATTCGATGCAAATGCATTGAAGGTACCATTCTTATTTCAATTTTATGTTGATTTTGATATATTACACTGTTTCTTTTATTTTCTATTTTACATTTTTTGTTTCTTTTAATCTATGTAGCACACTGACACCTTGAAAAAAGAAGTATCGGTGTTACTGCCGGACACTTGCACCGGCACTTGTGATTACGTTGAACTTATTGATTTTTTCAAATTATTATAGGTGCTGGCATGTTAGTGTCGGGGTCGAGTTTGAGATTTATGTGGTTCATAGCTTTTAATTATTCATTTTTACTCTTTTCTTTTCTGTTCAATTCTAAGTGTAATTGGAATTTTGTGAGTTACTTAGAATCGGAGGATGATGAACTTTCCATCCGTGTTTCTTTTGATTGTTCATTTTTCTATAACTTAAAAACGGTCGGTGTGAATTAACCACAATTTGTTCTATAACTTGTAAAGAGTGAATAACAGTATGGGTTTGTTGCTGCCGTTTCCTTGGTCACAGACCATTTTTCAAAACCTTTAGGATGATGAATTTTTTATTATTTGAAATAGCTTTTAGTTTTAGGAGGTGAATGTTTGGTTATTTTTTCGGTGTTTGTGTTTGATTGTTAAGAAATGTTTAATTTTATCTTCGATTGGTTTTTACTTTTTATCTTATGGCTTTGGCATCCAGAACATTGGTTTTTACTTTTTATCTTATGGCTTTGGCATGCAGAACATTGGTTCTTTATATTGTGATGATGATGAAATCAGGAGCCAATTTAACGAAGAAACATTTGATGATGAGAATGACTCATTTGGGACTGAAACATCATGTTGTGAAAATGAACTGGGTACATCTCAAGTCTGTTATCTATCTCCACCTTATGTACAATCGGTGGATGAAGCAGAAAGAGAACCAATAGTTGAAGCTTGTCCCGAAGTAGAGGTGATGGGAGAGACTAATTTGCTTTGCACATTGAAGGAATGTTTTAAAAACACCTTATGTAAACCAGTTGTGGAAGCAGACGAATTGCACCAACAATCTTCTGCAGCAAAGAAGTGGATTGATCCTGAAGCATCACTTAATGAAAAAGGTGGTGCTGCAATGGATGAGATACCTAAGCAATCTGATTTTGATGGTGCTGCAATGGATGAGATACCTAAGCAATCTGATTTTGATGGTGCATTCAAAGATAGTGACAAGATTGAAGATATTTTAACTACAGTAGCAAACGTCTTCAATTCTGAGGTCATGCCTGATTCTGAATCTCATCAAACCAATACTGATGAGGAGGCTTCTGTGGAATCACTCTCTGATGGGGAAGGGTACTCACTCAATGAAGTAGTTAAAAACATGGACCCTTCATCATCTAATGAAAATGGTGTAGTTGCTGTGAATTTAAAACCTAGAGAACACAAATTAGAATTCTTCTTTGAAGAAAATGCCAGGCTTGACAATATTTTAACTAGTGTAGCAAGTCTTTTCATGTCTGAAAACAAGTCTTCACTCGTTGAAGAAGCAAATCCTGTAGCCAATTTTCAACAAGACAAGATTGTTGAAGAAGTTAATGTTGATTCACTATCTGACGGAGAAAAAGAAAATAAATGCGACAAAGAGTTGCAGGCATACAAGAATTTTATACCTAATGATGAAGAAGGTAACTCACTGGATGAAACAGTTGAAGATACTGTGAAATCCTCTCAAACAGAGTCATTTAATCCTTCAGTAGCTCAGGACGCAGATTTAGATATTACAGACAAGGAGAATCAAACCCCGCAATCTCTCGTTGCTGTGGCTGGATGCTTTGATTTGGACTATGAAAGCTGTGTAGAAGACTCAGCAGAGAGAAGTTCAACCTTTGCTTGTGATAAGGCTGTGAGTGAGCTTCAGAGTCAAACCAGGAAGAGTAGATTATTGAACACACCTAATGTTGACACTAAATTTGTAATGAGTAACTTGAAGGATATCAGTGTCATACGTAAAGCTATGCAAAAGGATCTTTTCTCTGTCTCGGATGAAGAAGAAATGTTCACTCCAAGTAAAGAAAACCTAGAAGATAGTAAAAATTCCAATTCACAGATGTCAAAGAGTTTGTTGAAGGCTAGTTTTAGTCACAACTTCTATTCCGCAGAACGAAGTACAAGTTCCTTTTCAAACAAAGAAAACCTGACTCCAATAGAAGCCCAACAATGGCAGTCAGAGAGAAAGCCTCTTGAGTGTTATGATAGTGCGGGGTTAAGAAAAAAGAGAGTGGAGCGGAAACCCTTACAGTCACCTATGCAAAAGGATCTTTTCTCTGTCTCGGATGAAGAAGAAATGTTCACTCCAAGTAAAGAAAACCTAGAAGATAGTAAAAATTCCAATTCACAGATGTCAAAGAGTTTGTTGAAGGCTAGTTTTAGTCACAACTTCTATTCCGCAGAACAAAGTACAAGTTCCTTTTCAAACAAAGAAAACCTGACTCCAATAGAAGCCCAACAATGGCAGTCAGAGAGAAAGCCTCTTGAGTGTCATGATAGTGCGGGGTTAAGAAAAAAGAGAGTGGAGCGGACACCCTTACAGTCACCTATGCAAAAGGATCTTTTCTCTGTCTCGGATGAAGAAGAAATGTTCACTCCAAGTAAAGAAAACCTAGAAGATAGTAAAAATTCCAATTCACAGATGTCAAAGAGTTTGTTGAAGGCTAGTTTTAGTCACAACTTCTATTCCGCAGAACGAAGTACAAGTTCCTTTTCAATCAAAGAAAACCTGACTCCAATAGAAGCCCAACAATGGCAGTCAGAGAGAAAGCCTCTTGAGTGTCATGATAGTGCGGGGTTAAGAAAAAAGAGAGTGGAGCGGACACCCTTACAGTCACTAATGAATTCTGGAGACAATCACAATTCGGCAAACTCCAGTCCTTTTTATAGTCCTTTTGCTGCAAAAGAGAACCTGACTCCAAGGGGAGCCCAACAATGGCCAGAGAGAAAGCCTCTGGAGTGTCGTGATACTGCAGGGTTAAGAAAAAGGAGAGTGGAGCGAACACCCTTACAGACACTAATGAGTTCCAGAGGCAATCACAATTCGGCAAACTCAAGTCCTTTTTCTGCTACAAAAGAGACACTGATGAGTTCTGGAGGGAATCACATTTCTGCAAACGGAAGTCCTTTTTCTGCTGCAAAAGAGACACTGATGAATTCTGGAGGCAATCACATTTCTGCAAACCCAAGTCCTTTTTCTGCTGCAAAAGAGACACTAATGAGCTCTGGAGGCAATCACAATTTGGCAAACTCAAGTCCTTTTTATAGTCCTTTTTCTGCTGCAAAAGAGATACCCTTACAGTCACTAGGGAGTTCTGGAGGCAATCGCAATTTGGCAAACTCAAGTCCTTTCAATAATCCATTTTCTGCTGCAAAATCCATTCTTTGCGTCACTGCTAGAACCAGTAATTCGAGACATATTTCAGACAAACACACTGAACCTTCTGTAAGACCTATGATATATAATATCATTCTGATTGTGAAATAGTTTATTTTTATATATGCTTATTGCTTACCTTCTGCAGCCTATTAGTGAAGAACGAAAGAGAAGCTGGGATATGGTTGTAGACGCTGCTTCTCTTATGAATGAGGAGTCAAGAAAGGCTTTACAGCTTCTACAGGGTCTCAAGGGGACTCGCTTAATCATTCCAGAATCAGGTATTAATAAGTATTATTTGTCATGTTTCATGTAACTTTGTTTGAATTGTTGATGTTTTTGAAGTGGTTCTCAACGAGACATTGTTTTATCAGTCATAAGAGAATTGGGCAGCATGAAACAACGGATTGGAGTTTTTAGAAGGATCTCAGAGACTACTTTGGCCTTGGAATGGATTGAAGAATGCATGGGAAAGACAAAGTGGTGGATTCATATCCTTGACTATGCTTTTCCTATTGTTGAAGATCAGATCCTTGACTGTGCTCTTCAATATAGAAGAAAAGATAATGCTGGACAACTTGTCCTTCTTAGTGATGATGTCAACTTAAAAATCAAATCCATATCGGAGGTATTTCTTCATTATCATAGCAAACCTCTGGCTGGAATTGGATTAATCTAGCAGCCAAAATAAAATACTCCTGGTGGCTTAAATAATCCAGCCAAGGATGTTTTTTAGGCTACAAAGTATCCAAGTTGGTATTTCATCTTTTGACAACTATGCTTTCTTTCTATTTAACTTGTTTAAAAAAAAAACTGCTGCAGGGATTGCTATGTGAGACTGTGGAGCAATTTCGTCGGAGTTTAGTGAACCCTTTCTCTGAGAGGTTTATGTGGCCTAACAGCTCTCCTAGAGGACTGACTTGGTCTTGCCAAGATGATGTGATTTTAAGGGAGAAATATTGCTGTTTCCCATCAAAGGCTGGTTTGAAGCTCCTTGTCACTTAAAAGTTTGTTTACTAGCAAGTAGTCTTAGTTTTCAGTTTTTTAGTTACTGTCAAACTTGAATCTTTCAAGTTACAATTCACTTGCGCACTAATTTGCTGGTTTGAAGCTCCTTGCCACTTAAAAGTTTGCGTACTAGCAAGTATTGTATTAGTTTTCATTTGAGTTACTCTCAAACTTGAATCTTTCAAGTTACAATTTGACTAGACTTTAATGTTTTATTTCTCATGTTCAATGAAAATGATGTGTTGGTATTTTATTCAATAAGAATGGTGATAGCCTAGTACAATCAATATATTTTGCTACTTTTTGAAATAATTTAAAGAAAAATACAATCGGTAGCATGAACAATGACAATCCAACCTAGAGTTTTGGTATTTTTGTGGCTTTCTTTATCTTTCTCTTAACTTCATTCTCTCTCATCAAAATTATTTTAATTACTCGTATTTTCCTCTAAGTAAACTAAAAAGGTATGAAATACTCGAAATAGTAAAGGTAATCTGGCCTAATGAATCAGTAATTTACCTAGGCTATCTTTTTGGTTACCAAAAAAAGCAGTCTTCTATTATACTGCTCCAACTCGAATTTTTTTAGTGCTCGCTCTACTTGGTTAGAAAAATAGTTATTATAGTTAAACTTTAATAAATTAGTAGTTCTACTAACTCATAAATGTAAAATAACATGAAAACATTATTAATTAATAATTTAGTGATTTTATTTTTTTTTATTATTAACAAACACATATGTAAAATATTTTAAATACTTCCTCCTTTCTTATTTATAAGTAAATTTTAATATTTTAAATTTATTAAGTAATTAATATATTTAATTTATATATAGTTCAATTATTTATTAAATGAATTTAAAAATTTAAAAGTTACTTATAAAAAAAATGGAGAGAGTACATATTATAAACCTAAAATAATGTCAAATATATTCAACGCGCATATTTAAATTTTGGCGGTAAACGATGTATACCAAAACATGAGTGAGTAAAGTTAGAGAGCAGAAGTGGAGTCATAGATAAAGTGAATGGAGAAATGTGAAATGAAAATGATGGAGGAAGAGAACGAAGAAAAGGAGTAAAATATTCGTTTTTTAATAGAAAATTTGATTTTTTTTTAAATGTGTGCGTTTAAAACATATTTATTTTATATTTGAATCATGTTTCAATCTTAATACATATTTGAATCATGACAAAAAAAAGTATTGTAAGTCTATCATGACATATTGACTCTTTGATAAATAAGGTGAATTATGTGAAAATAGGAAAATAGATCTGTGCTTATTAATAGTAAGTAATAATTAGTTGTGTTTTGTTAATGAACCAAAAATGTTTGGTGAAATGATGGAATAAAGTCTTGATGCGATAAAGTGAATCTCTAGTACGACAATCCGGGGTGGATTTGTAAGTTTAACAATCTAATGTCCAAGTCAGCAAGAGAATGAAGAGTAGAATGAGTTATGGGTTAGAGAGAATAGCCCAAATCTCTCATGAGATGTCTTATATATGAGTGGCGATTATGGATGTTTCCTATAGTTTCAACATGGAATGTGAGAGACTGCCTGATGACATCTAACGATAAGTACCATCCCCTAGTGTCAAGCCTTAGAGTAAAGTGGCAATGTACATTCGGTGCCTTAGAAGAGTGGCAAGGACTGGTGATTGAGATTCCTCTTTTTGGGTTAGTGTTGTCTTAGACCAGTTGTTCCCAAGACTTGTTGTGGCGCAACAATGGGAAGTCCTTAAGAAAACTGGGTTGGGCTTATTATGTTGTGTCCATCACTTAGTGAAAAAGAAAAAATTGAAACGCGGCGTGAAAGACCTTGAAAATAGGTGCATTAAATGGTAGTCTCATCATTAAAACATTTCGTAGGATCTCTTTTACACATAGCCATAATTCCTTAGAATATGGTGTGGTGCTTCCTCTATGGTGGTCAAGTGTACTTGAGTGTTGTTATAGTATCGAGGCAAATTCGATCATTGCTTTTCAGCTACTCATTTTATTTTACTTAGGACCGCTGATTTATCTGTTTCGCCCTAATATATAAAGGTCACTTCACCTTCATCACCATGTTTTCACTATTTGCACAAATTTCGAGGCTTTTCTTCTTCTGCAAACCTAAATTGCTTTTCCTTGAGCGTCGGTGATCCATATTCTACCGATTTTTCTTTTCAATTTTGGGTAAAGCATTTCCTCGATTCATCGCATTCCCATAATTGTTTTTTGCTTTAATCGTTTCCTCAAGCTTTTCTAGTTACCATTTCTCTCCTTGCTTACCACTTGTTATTTTTTCCTTCCTTGCTTTAGTCATGGCTAATGTTGGAGACAACCTTGCAAATGTCCTAGAAATATCTAGTGATGTGAGTGATGTTTCATCTTACACCGAAATAGTAAACCTAGAAATGTCAAACATTGCACCTTCAGAAGTTAATCGGTCCACTGTAAACCTCATTGTTCTTAGTGAGTAGTATGACTCTGGTAGGGGTTCTATCAAATATGACAGTGAACCCTCGAGTTCCCATCCTGGTGGGAAAATAAATGGTTCTATAGGCCCCATCATATATATATATATATATATATATATATATATATATATATATATATATATATATATATATATATATATATATATATATATATATATATATATATATATATATATATATATATATATATATATATATATATATATATATATATATATATATATATATATATATATTTGTGTGTGTGTGTGTGCGCGCGCGTGTGTGTGTACACACACACACACGCGCGCGCACACACACACACACACACACACACACACATATATATATATATATATGTGTGTGTGTGTGTGTGTGTGTGTGTGTGTATAGCTCAATTTAGATTTGTAAATGGTCAGGATCCTACTATTATAGAGGTTAGGGATCACCTCAGTTTTTGAAATCATTTCCTAATTCATGACAAGCATTATATATTTTATGACATTTTAGAGGACATAGTTAGAAAGCAACGTCAAGGTCTCGTCATATGTGTGTGTGTGTGTGTGTGCGTGTGTGTATAAAATTGTCTCTTTATTAATCCATTTAGATTTGTAAATGGTCAGGATCCTACTATTATAGAGGTTAGGGATCACCTCAATTTTTGAAACCATTCTCTAATTCATGACAAGCATTATATATTTTATGACATTTTAGAGGACATAGTTAGAAAGCAACGTCAAGGTCTCGTCATACATGCCGATGCAGCTCAGTATCATCGGGTGTAAGAAGAGTCATTGGGAATCGTTTCATTCTTCAACAACACTCAGAAACTAGAATATGCTTACAGAGAAGTAGAATCGTCCTCTAATTGGTTTATTTCCCATGTCGGTCCCAGCAAAAGGATATGTAGCTCCTTAGAATGGTGATTTATACTTTTCAATGAATGTTTGTTTTCCAGAATGGGGTGTTGAACCACTTGAGAATTCCCCCTCTCAACTGCACCTGGTGGTTTGGGAATCCGTTAAAGTGTTCCAAAATTAGTGTGAGTACTCGGGCAAGGTGTCGATCTTAAATTTATTCTTCCTTATATTTTATATGACATGCACTTCCAACAGAGGTTGGAGACAAAGGTTTCTCTCACTTTGTCATCCCTTTAGAATGTTTAACGTCTACCTTGAAAGTTGGAAAATCTTTAAAGATTGTTACTTTTTAGTGATACCTTGAATCAAGAGAATCACTCTTCTTTTTTAATCCTTCCAAAATATGGTATTTCCCTCACTGACCCCTTATTCGGAGTTGGTGAAATATAAAGACAAGATTCGATATATTGAGCTCGACAATATTTCTTCCATGCTCCGAAAACATACGCATTTGCCTCTAACTCTTTGACCCCATAGGAAGATTATTTGAAAGATGACTTAGTTACCTTTAAAGAGAGTTTGGATTATGAAAAAGGAGACAACCCTTTAGATGCACATCCCCACAATAGAAACGGTGATATACCAATACACATTTGATTGTGGAAACAACTACTACCCTCGAGAAAAAAGATCTTTTTGGTGAGGAGAGGAAACTATCTTTATGTTTTCTTTATTATTTACAAAATATTTTTGTTGATCGTCTTCTTATTTTATTTTTCACATAACATGGGTGTTCTTGAACATATCTTCAAGAGGAAATAAGCCACTCGGTGAAGGATGATGTGTCGTCTTCCTTTTCGACACCTACCACGACCCTAGTTGAAACCGAAATAAATGCGAACCTAAAAGAGACTGAGACTTTTCTTACAAAGCGAATGCAAACGACCCTAGTTATGCGAGAGGATATAGAGGAGACAAGACACCTGCCATCTAAAATCCAAGGCAAAAATTCTCACGACCGGCCTGCATCTATTGTTGGTGAGATAGTTAAGAGGATCTGGTGGTTGTAATAATATTATGTCAAACACATAATGACTATTCCTTTAATGAATTTATTTATTTGTTACTTAGTTTGATTGGCTTGTTCATTATTTAGCTTTGCATGGATTTACGTAGTGTATAGTCTTCCATGATTTTATTTTATCATGTGATATTCTATGATTTTATTTCATCGTATAGTTTGTCAAGATATTATTTCATCATGTGTTCTTCTTTGATTTCATTTCATCATATAATCTTTCACGGTTTTATTTCATCATGCTCGTGTATGGTTTGTAGGCTAGGTTAAGCTTTAACGTCTCAAATGATTATTCCCAACCAATGGTCAATTCCCTTTGCCTGGTGCCCTAGATAAAAAATATGGTTTAAGGTCGGCATAACCAGGGCTCCAGAGTTTGTGCTCTAGAGTGGTTAGCTATTAAGAAAGCGTGTGTCAGCTGCGACTTATGTGTTTTATTTATCTCATATTTTGTTCTTCTTTTAGGAAAGACAATCATACAATTCGAACAAAGCATGATATTTATTTATATCAAAAATATTTCATTAGGTAATCATATTCAATTTATGTTAATTTAACTTGGGGAAAATTTAACTAAAATATTGCACGAGCTTGG